TAAAGTAAAGTGCACGTATATACATACATATACGCAAAAAAAAAAAACTGAGAAACTAAGTGCAAAAACAACAAACAAAAGTGTTAAAAAAGTGCACGTACATTTCGAAAACTCAAAAGTAGAAAAATAAAATAAAATAAAATAAAAAATAAAATAAAATGTTGGAAAAAACAAATAAATAATTAAAATACTTATGTACATTAAAAAAAAAATAAAAATCAAGAAACACAACAACAACTAAAAGAAGCAACAAAGCGCAATCAGCAGCCATCACCTAACCAAACCGTCGGCCAACATAAGGGCGATCATCAGCAGCATCAGTAGCCATTATCAGCTACGGCAACAACAACAGGCGAAATTATCAACAGAAGCAGCGGATACGCACATATAAATACATACATACATAAATCAAGGAAAGTAGTAAGTCGGCAAATTTTTAATTTCCTTAAAAATTGAAATAAATATAACTTTCATATTCTTAAAAGTTATATTATTTCCAATAAACTGCCAACGGGCATACATACGTATATACATACATATATATATATATAATTAAATAAAACGCGTATTTTTTCTCGCCAAAAACGGTTCTATTAAAATTGCGGATATTTTCCTGCCGCACAAACTTCAACAAAGGCAACTTGCCGTGGTAGAAAAATTCCGTTTTCCGGAAAGCGGAAAAAGCATATTGCGCTGCGATTTACATCCGCGTAGATGCTAGCAACCAAAGATATTCCACTCTCTTGGTTGCAAAAAGCAAAGTCGCACCATTGAAGACGGTAAGCTTGCCACGCCTGGAGCTGTGTGGTGCAGCCTTACTCGCAAAACTGGTCGCAACTGTTCGAAAACAGCTCAAATTGGAATCGTGCAACACATTCTTATGGTCAGATTCAGAGATTGTGCTAGCTTGGCTTGAAAAACCACCATGTACATGGAAGACGTATGTATCCAATCGTACCTCCCAAATCCGGGAATATCTTCCAACAGGTACATGGCGCCATGTTGCCAGCCAAGATAATCCAGCCGACCTCGGCACCCGCGGGTGCAAACCGCAGGACTTGGCAAATTCCCCACTCTGGTGGCACGGACCAAAATGGCTCTCTTGCCACATGGATGCGTGGCCAAGGTCAAAGGCATGCAGTGCATCTCCACCAGAAAAGCAAAAAGTGGAGGTATATCACGCGCTTGAAGAAGAGGTCGATTTTCTTGATCGCTTTTCTTCTTTCTTTCGAGCACTCCGCGTGACTGCGTACATGTTCCGCTTCGTCAGCAATGCCCGCAACAAATCAAAGGGGTTAGCTACAATCACCTATCCGCATCTGACACATAACGAATTTCAATATGCAAAAATTCGTCTTATCAACGCAGCGCAATCACGCCATTTTCCGAGCGAAAAAAGCGCTTTGCAAGATAAAAAGCCACTTAACAAAAAAAGTCCTCTTCTTGTTCTCAATCCTTCGTTGGACAAAGACGAACTTCTACGGGTTAATGGCCGATTAGCACATTCCACCTTGAGCTATAATGGAAGGCACCCAATCATTCTCTACCGAATCGAGGTTATGCCAGCTATATTTGGAGTTTTTACACTCGCTGCTTCTTCACGCAGAAACACGATTAATGCTCCAAATGGTAAGGCAAGAATACTACGTACTAAAGCTAAAACCTCTCATTAAAAATGCATCTTTCAATGCAAAGTGTGCACGCTTTACAAGCAATAAACACGCACCCAAATAATGGCCGCTCTACCCCCTGAGCGCTGCAGTTTCTCACTCCCATTTTCCACAACGGGAGTAGATTTTGCTGGGCCATTCCAAATTAAAGCATCGGTGCTAAGATCTACAACCCTTATCAAGGAATACGTTGCAGTTTTTGTCTGTTTTTCCACAAAGGCAGTGCACCTCGAGCTATGTTCGGATCTTACAACCGAAGCTTTTCGAGCAGCATTCGCCCGCTTCGTTGGCAGACGAGGCTTCCCCTCAAAAATGATGAGCGACAATGGAAAAACGTTCATTGGCGCCCAGCGCGCAACAGAATGCGACTTCGTTAAAATTCTTAACGAGTGTTCCGCAGACATTGTCGAAAAATATGCCCCTCAAGGCATCAACTGGCAATATATACCACCCAGCGCCCCCCACATGGGCGGTTTGTGGGAATCTGCAATGAAAAGCTTTAAAATCCATCTAAAGAAAACCGCTGCAACCCACAAGTTTACCTTTGAAGAATTCACGACGCTTCTGGTGCGAATTGAAGCAGTCCTCAACTCGAGGCCTCTGTCCGCACTTTCCCAAGACCCAGCTGATATGACAGCACTTACTCCGGGTCACTTCCTTCGAGGTGCACCGCTATTGGCCATTCCCGAGCCTAATGCGGAAGACCTCTCTCTACTAAATCAGTGGGAGAAAGTCAAAGCACTTCACCACCAATTCAGTCGCCGCTGGATGAAGATTACCTCAAAGATCTTCAGAAGAGATACAAGTGGAAAACTCTACAACGCGATCCTCAGCCAGGCGACATCGTCGTGATCAAAGAAGATTCGCTCCCCTCCACCGAGTGGCGATTGGGACGAATCGAAAACGTTCGCCACGGCCCTGATAACCACATACGTGTCGTGGAAGTTGTCAAACTGTGCTTCCTTCCCAAAGCACAATAAATAATTCTATACATCTTTTCCTTTTGTATATTAAGGGTCTTAACTTCCCGTTTAAAGATTGTACCCAAGTACTCCTCGTTTCTCTGCCTTTGCTTCTACTTCCAGATTGAAGACACCATGGCATTGCGGAAGGCATGCCCCCTGGCTCCAACGGCAGAGACGGAGAACTGCCTCCAATGTCGGCTCTGCCACAAGTACCACGCGCTCAGGACGTGCCCGGCCTTTAAGGCCATGAAGTCACCGCACCGATTGGCAGTATCCCGGGCGCAAGGGTATTGTGTCAACTGCCTTGCGCCCACCCACACAACCGGCGAGTGCGATTCACCAGGCAGCTGCAAGGTTTGCGGCTTAGCGCACCATCCGCTGCTGCATGTGGCAGCTAACAGGCCCGCGCGCACTGGCCAACGGAAGCAGAAGGCCAACCGGCCCGCAGCGGCCACAAAGGCCCCAACGAGCGTAAAGCGGCGCGCACCGCCGAAGAGGAAGGCGCAGAAGAATGCGCACAATCGCGGAAGGCAGGCGCCGCAACCACCGCGCAAAAAGACCGCCCAAAGGACGATCGCGCGCACCCCCCAAGGCC